CACTCACTCACTCACTCTCTCATTGTCTCTCTCTTTCTTTGTCTCTCCCTTTGTTTCTTTCTTTCTTTCTCTCTTTCTTTCTTTCTCTCTTTCTTTCTTTCTTTCTTTCTCTCTTTCTTTCTTTCTCTCTCTCTCTCTCTCTCTCTCTTTCTCTCTCTCTCTCTTTCTCTCTCTCTTTCTCTCTCTCTTTCTCTCTCTCTCTCTTTCTCTCTCTCTCTCTCTCTCTCTCTCTCTCTCTCTCTCTCTCTCTCTCTCTCTCTCTCTCTCTCTCTCTCTTCTCTCTCTCTCTCTCTCTCTCTCTCTCTTCTCTCTCTCTCTCTCTCTCTCTCTCTCTCTCTCTCTCTCTCTCTCTCTCTCTCTCTCTCTCTCTCTCTCTCTCTCTCTCTCTTTCACACTTTCTTCTTTCTCTCTCTCTCTCTCTCTCTCTCTCTTTCTCTCTCTCCTCTTTCTTTCTTTCTTTCATTTTTTCTCCTTTTCTCCTTCATGAATACAAGCCACACTAATGGCTGGGAGTAGGTATACAAAAACCTTACCAGACAGTTTTACCAACATTTATGCGAGAAATAATTTCCATTTGTGCATCTGCAGCTTGGCGATGGAGATGGCATTACTTGTGTTTTGTGTTTGCAGGCAGCTCACTTTTAGGCATGCATTTGCAAAAGTTGCACCTCCTCTACCCCATCTGCTGTATTTTAAAAGCAACAAGCCTCATTACTGTGGTCCAATACAACAGCATGGAGTTCTCCTTCCTTCCAGAGAAACACAAAATAGATATAAAAGTGAATGGATATTTGGGTTCCCGAGTCCAGCTAGTTCAGTCTTTAACACCGGTGCCAACGAGATGGTGTTAACGGTGGAGTATCGGATACCTCTGCCTCTAACGGTGGAGGAATATAGGATCGCACAGCTCTACATGTTAGCGGTGAGTCTTGGCTCCTCTGTGGCCGCTACAATCCCACCCACACTTACAGTCTCACTTGTAATGTTCAGGCAGCAAATAACCGTAAGAATATCAGGTGGAAGCACCACCCGTTGTTGAGATGTAGGTAGTGGTTGCTACGGAAACAGCACTAGGACTTGCAGAGTATGTGTTTTAGTTGTACTAGAAAAGTTGAAGGTGAGTTTTCACATACAGTGAATCAGCTGTAATGCAGTTACATTATGTAGATTACAGATATCTATTCATAGGAATTAGTTGAGTTGTGTAGTAACACAAGTGGTGTATCATTGTTTGTATGTTTCCTTTTTGGGTATTACCTTATAATTGTGTAAATCATTACAAAGAGCTTATGGAGGGCTACATATTAGTATCATATTGTCAAGGCATTGTGATCCTTATTTATGTGATCATTTCTGTGAAAGTAGAAGTTGAATTTATTATGCAGTAAAAGATGTATGGAAGAATAATATTATATGCCACATAGATGCAAGATATGGGAAATTGAAACATATGCAATTGTAACTTATCTAAGATTTACATAAGGTGTGCAAAAGAATAACATGTTATATTTATAGCATGGTAGGATAAGTGTCACACGTCTAGGGCATAGTACAGGTAAGATTGAAAGCGGCGTTACCAGGTATACAGTGTGACATTGACTTGGTGAACTACTTTGACGATGGCTGTGCAAGGTTGTAGCAGTATTGTTAGGTGTGGTCTTATGATGTTATATTGTACTATGAAGTTATTAGAGAATAGATGATTTGCTTCACAACCATGGTGATTACTCAAAAATGTTTGGGTTTCTTTGATGAAAAGGATTATCTGTTTTTTTCGAATGTGATGTCTTGCCTTATTTAAATGAGTCATTTTTTTCTTCTCTCTTTTAGTGTATATATTCAGAGCACATGTTTGCCATGCTTATGCTGCACCGCTTTTCAAACTGATTTCTGATCTGTGGTTGAACGTCTCTTGCTTGGAGTGTTGATGGAAGCTTTCAAATTAATTCTTTCTTTAATTATCCTTTTTTTTTGTCTTTATCATCATGTCTTTACTGTGTGCTACATTTGTCATGACTGTTGTGATTATTGTTTTCAGTTTATTATGTTTGTTTAAGTACAAAAGCTTTGTGTATGAAATTGTATTTATGTACTAAATCTCCCCCAAACTTTATCCATTGAAAGTAGTTCATACAATTTATATTTCTTTACCTCATTTGAACCTCCTTTGTTTTACATTTCCATTAACACAACCCTGCCTTTACAGAAAAAGTCGAGGCAAGAGAGCCATGGCGAAGGAAGTGGCGTTGAGATCCTGGTCAATGAGCCTTATGAAAATGGCCCTGGGCCGGACGGCAAAGGCCAATACACCCATAAAGTTTACCACGTTGGCAGCCATTTACCAGGTATGTGGGAGAAGAACTGAAGGCCAAATGGATTGAGATTTTACAATACAGCTTTTAGGATGCAGAAGTGTTGTATAGTGTTATCTTTATAATGAACATCCTCTTTGTTCTCTCGTCCTTGGTATGGTCTGGTGGATGTGGTTAATTGATGTTGTTTTAGGACACTTTTTATGTGGAGTCAGCACAATATCTACTTATCACAATTTCTACTTATAGTTTCCTGTCTGTTCCTCATCATATTTAGAATCATCTTATACACTAATGTGTGTTTGATGGGGAAATCCAAGTATCATGTACTGATAATTTAGAGTGGAGTGTTCCACTTACTAAATTCCTGACACTAATGAATAAAAAAATTTATACAATAGAAACATGGAACCAAAATAATCTAGAAAAATCAATAAAGAGTTGAATGAAGAGTGAGCACTTTTGTGTTTCCTTTTCTTCTTTCTTTCTTCCTTTTTTTCTTTCTCTCCTTCCTTCTGCAACCTTCTTCATTTCAGTTAGTATCAGTGGTGTGCAGAATTAATCTTCCCCTACTTTCCAGGGTGGCTGAAATCGCTCATCCCAAAGTCAGCCCTGTCAGTCGAAGAGGAAGCATGGAACGCTTATCCCTACACCAAAACCCGCTTCACGTGTCCCTTTGTGGAGAAGTTTAGCATTGAGGTGGAGACGTACTACCACAACGACGGGGGGCACCAGGAGAACGTCTTCAAGCTCTCCAAGTCGGAGATGAAGCAGAGGGAAGTTGGTAAGGGAAAAAGAGAAAAAGAGTTCATTTCCGTTCAAAGTCTTAGAGTGGGATGCATTAGTATATGGTTTATGTGTGGATTTTCCTGTTTATTTCTAAGTTATGTAGTGGATTAACAGATATAGCTATAGATTCAGATTCTTTTACGATTATAAGATTTTTTTTTTTCTTCATTTGAGTCTGGTGAAAATGATTACTCATCGTTTCATTCTCCGGGGCGAACAGTATTCAACATCCATTTTTGTTGTTGTTTCTACTTAAGATCTCATTGATGTTGTGCGAGACCAGTTGTATGGAGCCGACTACAAGGAGGAAGAAGATCCCCGTAAATATGTGTCACAAAAGACCAGCCGAGGACCCCTGGGAGATAATTGGATTAATGATTACTGGGATATGTGCAAGGTAATGACGATGTTGTTTTTGACAGATCGGCATATGTAAAGTAGGGAACTTTTGGAGTTTATTTTTATCAGTGTTGATAGAAGCCTAATAATCATTTTATGATTACAAAGCTAATGTATTATTTTTGAATTCGTAAGAACTTTTCAAGATGTCAGTGTAGCGTAAGCCATGACAGCAAAGGCTTTTGTTGTACAAATTAGAGGAATAGTTTTAGTGTTTTTGAGAAATGACAAATGCCTGCCTTTTTGGGATGGGAAGCCATACATGAAGGCACTACATGATACACAAAATGTGTTTTTCTTCTTGCCTGGGGGTTAATGGGCTTAGCAGCAGAGGCACTCTTGGTGGTGCACAGTTAATGTTGGTGAAAGCCGTAAAATTTCAAGAAGCTGTATAATAGAGAAAAGAAAAAAAAAAAAAAAAACTAGAAAAGATTTGATGTTTATTATTTTGGGATTGTGGGAATGCTGTCTGTCCTTAGTCCATTTGTAGGAGGAGATAGAGTGAATATGTAAAAGACAAAGATACAGATGGGAAAAGAAAGGGAATGAAAAGAAAAAACAACAACTTTATTTTATACGGGAGAGATGGGTTGAATAATTTGTGTATATATATATATATATATATATATATATATATATATATATATATATATATATATATATATATATATATATATATATATATATATATATGTAAATGTGTACATATATATTTTTTTGATTATTTTTTTTATTTATTTTTTTTATTTATTATTATTATCTTTTCTTCTTTACTGAAAAGATATTATACTTCTTTTCTTTCAGGATAAACCAACCCCCTTGCCTACAGGTGAGGCAATTATGTGTGCATACAAGTTATGCAAGGTAGAATTCCGCTACTGGGGTATGCAGACAAAAATAGAAAAATTTATTCATGATGTTGGTAAGTTATTTTTAACTTGTGTTATGCTTATGATATATGTAAGTGCTAATGTATAGCATGTTATAGCTTCATTGAATTAAGAGGGAAGAGGCTTTGGTGATATATATGAATTATGTTTATACATCTACTTTGTTGATTTATGAAATTAACTGTAGTGAGTGAGACCCTTATATAGTATCATATAGTGATTTTCATATCTTAGAACTAGTGTTGACATTTGGTCATTTGGTTGAATAAAATGACACAGATTCCTGCTTTTTGCTTTCAGCTCTTAGGAAGACCATGCTCCGGGCTCACAGACAAGCTTGGGCCTGGATGGACGAGTGGTGGGGGCTAACCATAGAGGATATACGTAACATTGAAAAGGAGACCCAGGATCTTCTTGCTAAAAAATATGGTGCAGGGGATGATGAAGAGGGTGAGGAGGAGGAGGAGGAAGGTGACAGAGGAAATGTTACACCGGAAGTTAATGCAGACTTACCTCAGAGCCCCAGTGTTTCGTCTGATAGAACCCCTAATCTAGAACAGCTGAGTCAAAGCGATTCATTTAGGACTAGCAATGATTTAGGTGAGCGTCA